GGGTCATTCTCACGTGTTTACTTGGTTCACTTGCTACCTTCCTACAAAGGTCAACTGCTCAGAGGAACCACGGGGGGGGGGGCAGGGGGGGGCGCCTGCTCTTTGTATCGCTCTCTCTCTCCTTTCATTCTCCGTCTCTGAACTTACTTAACTGCGCATGCCTGAGCCTTGTGCCGGCGCCCTGGATGGCGGCACTGACCTTCTGTCCACACACAACTGAGGCTGGGGTCAGCGCTCTGGGCTCTGCCTGCAGAATGCCGGCGCCGCAGCGCCATCCTCACACCCTACAGTATTTGTGTTTCCTGTGCTGCAGTCATCAGCATGCAGTCCTCACATCAAGGGAAGGGAATGAGCCGTGTATGGTGGGAGCAAACAAAGCAGCCCAGTTAGAGGGACAGGGCAGAGCATCTGGGAAACAGAAGGCATAGCAAAGGAAGCAGGGCCCAGGTCCTCCAAGGCCGCTCTAACTTTGAGATTCACTCTTCAGAGTAAAACAGAAGCCTTTGCAGGTGCTCAGCAGAGGAGACCTAACTTCTGTGAGCTTTAACTGTCTCCCTCAGGGCTGAGGATAAAGGCTCCGTGGAGCGCTTGCCTCGCCTATGCAAGACCCTGGGCTCTGTCCTCGGCCCTGCAAAAGCAGAAGGAAATAAAGGTAATTCAATGATTTATGTTCTCAAATCGCATCAACCAGCTTCCAAACATTTTCATCCCTTCAAAACTGAACACTCTACCTTTCAGCTATTACTCTAATCTTCTCCTTGCTCCATTCCCAGCCAGGACGAGTATCTACTGACCTACTTCCTGTTTGCACATGTTTGCCTGATCTGGATGCTTCTTACAAATGGAGTCAAGCAACATGTGGTCATCTGTGACTACTTTCTGTCATTTAGCATAATTCAAGGTTTATCCATGTTGTAGCATGTATCTGTACTCCTCTGCATACTTGTCCCAGTATCCACATCTGTTGTCTCCATATGTTTCCATTGAATGCTCTACACTTGAATGAATGAATGAATGAATATCCATTCATCTGTTAAAGGGCCTCCAGACTGCTGTAAATAATGCTGCTATGACTATTCTTAAACAAATCTTTGAGTGGACATGTCTTTGTTCTGGGGGTTATGTACTATGTGGAATTTCTGGGTCAACTGGTAACTACTACATGCCTGTGTGACAGTGCTGGACCATTTTCCTGAGTGGCCATAACATGTTGCATTCCCCCCAGCAGTGTGTGAGAACTCTTTCTTCACATCCTTGCTAACACTTGTTGCCTAATTTTTAAACATTTTATTTGTTGTGGGTTGGGTGTGAAGTGTTATCTCATTGTGGTTTTCATTTGCATTTCCCTGATGACTACTGAGAAAGTATCGTTTCATATGTTGAATAGCAGTATTTTCTCTGGGTTGTCTTTCTGGTTTCCTGATAACAACCTTATAAGTTTTTAATTTAGATGAAGTCCAATTTAGCTATTTTTTTCCCTTTTGTTGCTTGTGATTTGGGGGTCATAAAAGAACATTGCTGCTGGGTGGGGTGGCGCACACCTGCAATCCCAGCACTTGGGAGGCAGAGGCAGAAGGATCACTGTGAATTTGAGACCAGTGGGTGACAAAGTGACCTTAAGGCCAGCCTCAATTGTATAATGAGACCCTGTGTCCAAAAGACAAACAAAACAAAACAAAACAAAACAAAACAAACAAACCCCCCCGCATGCCTGAGCGCACTCATGCGCGTACACACACACACATACACAGCTAAATCAAAGATCATGAAGATTCACATCTGTATTTTCTTAGAGTTTGTAGTTTGGGATTTAACACGTCTTTGATCTCCTTTGATTTAATCTTTCTGTATAGCATGACATACATCCTCTCAAATGTAGTGATGCAGTCATCCTATTATAGAAACATTATAGGCAGTCACGTGGCTAGATCCTCAAAGAAGTCAGTGCAAAAGACGAGAACACATGACAACCATGACTGGAGGTGCATTCCTTGAAGGCCAGGCCTCAGGATAAAGGAAATGACTGCACCTACATACTTCCCCAAGGGATGCACCTCCATCAATATTCTTTTTTTTTTTTTGTCTTCTTGAGATAGGGTCTTGCTATATAATTGAGGCTGGCCTTAAGCTCACTTTGTAGCATAGGCAGGTCTCAAACATGCAAAAATCCTCCTGCCTCAGCCTCCTGAGTGCTGGGATTATAGGCCTGCACCACCACAATGGGCACCAATGATTAATATTATAAATAGGCATCAGCACCTGGCTGCGGCCCAGGACCTCCTGAGCTGTCCCTTCCAGAGGTCCTTTTTCTCTTCATGCACACTTGCTGTGTGACTTGCTTCCCCACTGGCGCAATATTGCCTAGCAACTATACTTGTAAACCCATTAGTTGACAGTAGTTTTGTCCTGCCTTACACCCACCTCATGATTTTGCTCTAAAAAACTTCCTTTGTGAAGTGGGCCCTGGTGTAAGCCACCCTCTGGGTGTCCCCTCCTGTCCATCTCAGGTAGGAGCTGTCTTTCTCTCCATAAATAAATATTTCCTACTTTTAACTTCCATCGTTCCTAGAATTCATTCTTCAATTTTAGAGAACATGAACTTGGTACATCAGACATCTAGCAGGCTGGGAGTCATAATAATTCCCTTACATTATTTGGAGGCCTGTATGTCATTCCTATGTCAATCCCAACATGAGCTGTTTAAAGAACTATTTTTCTCTTTGAATGGTCTTTGCACTCTTGTTAAAAATCAACTAATCTAGTGAGGTTAAGCTTGATAGCCTAAATCATTTGATAATAACAATAAGCTTGTCTTCTGGATGGTTAACAACCTAAGTTAGCAGACCAAAATTAGAGAAAAAGGAGGGCTACAAGGAAAGCCAACATTTTGGCCCTAACCTTCTAAGGTCAATTAAGACTCAGGACATATGAGAACTTGTACTGTAAAGTCATGTAACTCGGTAGTGTCCCAAATTTTCTGATCAAGAAGATTATGGGGCCAAAGAGGAAAGTGATTGATGACCTAGAGTGTGTCTAAGGAGAGTCACATGGGGAGAAGACACTCTCTCAGGCTTTCACAGAGAGCACATTGGCCAAGCATTGGCCGTGACTCATCCACATGGCTGCACTGACAAAGGTTCTATAATCTGAGGTACAGGATCTCAGGATAAATCCTGAGGGCATTTCACTGACCTTCTCAGACCAAAAAACTACAACTCTTGTTGCACAAGTCCTGCTTTACCTTGGTCTTAACCATCCAGTAGAAAAGTATGAAGACGAAATATAGGAAATAAAGCCATGCTGTTAAGTTGAGCTGTGGGGGACTCAGGTCAATAATTTCTGACATTGCCAGTTAAACAGAAGACCCAATGCTATTATGGGCTACTGGACTCTTTTAGAATATTTTGCTGAGTTTACACACCTATAATATTCAATAACAGAACTTAGGAAAACTGGGGTATACCTATGAATGTCCGTTTTGTATCTGTGTATTCAAAGTGGTTAGGATAGATATATAGTTGCATTTTCTTAATGAATAGAATGATTTGTTCTAATGGTGTTTGTAAATAGGATCACAAGTCCGCATCTTGTACAGCAATTAACCACTAAGAAGAATATATGCAGTGTATTATTTGTTGAAACTGTACTTCCAATTTGATTTGAAACTGTCTCATTGCTATCTGTTTATCAATAAAACTTTGAAAACAAAAAAAAATCAACTAATCATAGGTTAATTCTGGCCATAGAGCTGTGTATCTGTCCTTGAGTCAGCACCATAGTGTCTGGTGTTGACTAATAGTAGTCTAGTCTGACTACTGTTACATTGTAGTTGTTTTATGTGAATCCTCCAATTTTTTTCTTTTAGTTGTTTTTTTTAATGCTATCTTTATTCCCTTGTTGGGGAAATAAATGTAACTCCCAAATTATTAGATGTCAGGCATGCCAAGTTTGTGTTCTCCAAAATTAAAGGTTGGATTGTAAGGAACAATAGAGGTTAAAAGTAGGAAATATTTATTGACAAAGAGAGAGGGAGGGAGAGAGACAGAGACAGAAACAGAGAGATAGCTCCTGAGTGACAAGAAGGGATCTGAAAAGTGGGTTGGCAAAGACCCCATTTTACAGAGGAAGTTTTATAGAGCAAAATCCCGAGGTAGATATAATGCGGGACAAAACTCTGATCATCCAGTAAGATTACAAGTGTACCTGCTTAGGTAATATTGATCCAATGGGAAACAGGTCATACAGCAAGGGTACCTGGAATGAAACAAGGACTTTTTTAGGAAGAGACAACTAGGTGATTCATGTAAAATCATTGTTTATACCTCTGGGAGGCAGGGAAGTTAGTCAGTCCTTCTTTATCTTGGGGCCTGGCCTCCCAACAGATGCACCCCTGGCCACATTTGTAACTCGTTCTCACTCTCTGCACTCCCTCCCTCCCTCTCTCCCTCCCTCGAGGGCCCAGCCCTGCCTGACTGCCTACAGGATTTCTGCCTAACTTAGCTGTCTGTTATACCTTGAGCTTCCATATAAATTTTAGAATTAACATTTTGATTTATACAATGACAGGATTCTGATAGGGACTATACTGAGTCCATAGATCAATTTGGGAAATACTGTTAGCCTAACAATATCGACTCTTCTCAGCCACATTTGTTTAGATCTTCTTTAACTTCTTTCATTACTATTTTGTAGGTTGTAGAGTAAAAATGTTACACTTTCAGGGCTGGTGAGATAGCTGAGGGGACTAAGCGCCTGCTTTGGCAAGCACAGGGACCAGGGTTAGAGCCCCAGCCCACATGCTGGCCCCCCACCCCCCACCCCTGGGGCGCACTGAGCGAGTGGCCAAGTCCAGGCATGGTGGCGCATGCCTGTAATCACAGTGCTGAGAGGGCTGAAAACGGGAGGATCACTACAGTCTGAGCTACATAGTGAGACCCTATACCAAATACATTTTTAAAAAATTATACTTTATTAACTTTATGTCCAAATGCTTGATTTTTAATGCAATATTTAAAAAAAAGAAACAAAGTCATTTTCTTGGTATCAATTTAGTTTTTTCTTTGTGTTCATTGCCAAGTATATATAAATGCAATTGATTTTTCTCTATGTACCATGTCGTGCACCCTTGCTGAACTCATTACTTAGTTCCAGTTCCCCAGAGTGGATCTTTTAGAATTTTCCACATACTGTAGAAGATCACATCATCTGAGAAGAGTTATACTTCTTCTTTTCCAATCTGAATGGCTTATCTCATTATGATGTCCTTAATTCAGCAAATTCTTCTAGCAATGTTGTTGACAGTCCCAAATCACAACACAGTGGGATCCCAGGTGAGAAAGGACTGTGGCTTGGTCCTAGGTGGCCATTAAAGAAGGGTCAGCAAGAGACCCAGTAAGTCTCTTCTCAGTTCTTCTTCATTTCTTCTATGTCTTCTTGGCCATTGTGGTGATTTTTTTTTTTTTTTCAGTCTCATCCAACCACAAAGCCAGCTGTAGCCTTCTGACAATCCTCTCCCGGTAAAATTCTTAGCAAGCATTTCTGCATGAAGGAAGCAGAAGCCAACCGGAGCCTGCACATCCTGTCTGTGAGGAACAGACCTGTGAGACAGGCCTGGCAGAGGAAGGCCTATTTTTATGACAGGGAGAAGTGTCCACTGCTGGGCTCAGACATGCTGCAACCCTCAGCAATCAGCTAAAGATAACCCAGGCCAGGAGCTCCATCTGCACTGAGGGGCCTCAGTGGCCTGTGTGTCACAGCTCTGGCCACGCCAAGGGGTCCTTGGCTCTGTGTCATGGGATAACTCAAGCTCCTCAGTGCGCCACCCTAGAGTTCTCCTCGGTGGGCCTGAGTGTCAAAGAAGGTGCCCAGAACACTAGCACGACCTACACAGGGAGTGGCTCCTTCAACTTTGCCTGATCTTTGGTTCTTGGTTTTTTTAATTAATTAATTAGTTATTAATTAATTTATTTATTTTGGTGGTGCTACTGGGAATTGAACTCCCAACCTGATGCTTGCCAGCAGGTGCTATGCTGCTGAGCGGTCCTGCCTCTTTCTCCACCTCCTACTTCCCTCACCTTTGGCCAGGCCCTGTTCTAATGACAACCTTGTGGCTAGGAGCAAGCCACTCTTCTCTCAGGGCCTTGGAGTACTACTACCAGCAATGGAAGTGGGGGCTTAGATCTGTGCTCCTCAATAACCCGAAGTCCACAAATCCAAAGTGACCCTTAATTTTCAGATTCCCCAAACTATTCCCAAATATCTTCTTTTGCAAATCCACAGCCAATAGCCACGTTGAGATCTTAACATAGGCAGGTTGTAGCAGCTGTGTTGGGCCCTCCACAGGCATCGCACCTGCTCTAAGAAACTTCAGGGTCCTAAACGCGGCCTGCAGGAGCCGCCAGCTGCCACTGCCACTGTGCCCCCTGCCCTGACAGAAGTGACTGGCCCATGGCAGAGCCCAGGTCCTGCTGCATCAGGCCCACTGCACCTCTCACAGTTTGGTTGTGGCAAAGACTCCACAGAGGGGCTTGGCAGCCACTCTGGCTGTCAGGGCAGACAAGACTGGAGGTTGGTGACCATGAAGGCCTGGTGCACACACAGGACACTGGGCAGGGAAGGAGGATGCAGGGTGGCAGCCGAGAGTAAGTCCTATGGCTCCTGAGAGATGAGAAGCGCAGTGGCAGCTGAGACAGGCAGGCTGCCCCATGCCTGGCTTCCTGCCCGGTTCCAGCATGAGGCCTGGGCTGCCCTTGGGTTCTGAGCTGTGACGTTACACACACCACTGCCAAAGGAGCTAGGGCTAAGGCAAAGAGGGGTCACTGTTCAACAAATACAACTGACTACTGTACTTGGAGAGGATGGAGGGGACTTGGAGAAATTCCTGCCTCATGGCGCTGTAAGGAAAAAGATCCCAGAAGAATTAACACAATGTTTAAGAAAGAGAATTAAAAGCATACATATCCTTACTTTCCCCCACTCCCTGAAAAAGTAGTCTTCTTCCCATTTCTCTCTTCTCTTTCCTCCCCCTGCCCTCCTGTTGGAGGTGGTGGGGTTGCAGAGGGAGCCACAGAGAGCCAAGTGTGGCCAGGAAAGGAAGGCTACCTGTGCAGGCAACCACACGCATGGAAGCTTGTGAGACCCTGGCTTCCCACTGATGGAAGGAGGAAGGGAAAGGCTGGAAACAATCCTGAGGAACTGGATAGAAGGAAGGGTAGTGGTGCAAAAGGTGTGTGCATAGAGAGGTAAATATGCCTGTGTGCAGGGTGCGTGCACATGCACACCTGTCCTGCCATCCAGGAGGGAGAGACATAGCTTGGAGGTTTGGGGGAGTTCTCCAGGATTTCTACCTCCAGGGACAAGCAAGTTCCTAGCTCTGTGTACATTGTACACTGAAAAGGGGCAGAATCAACGATGCCACCAGACAAGGAACCAAGATTCTAATTTCCAAATATCTTCCTCACTGTGGAACTCCATGGAGCATCAATCCAAGGCTACAACATGGAATTTACTAGGCAAGCTGGGTCCCGGGGGTCTCTGCAGGAGGAGCTACTCCTTGGGCCCTGTGGACAAGAGGCTGAGCAGACTAGAGTCTGTGTCCTGTAAAGCCTGAGCCTTTGGGAAGGAGAGAGGGGACAGGATCTGAGACATAGGGATGGAACTGCCCTAAAAGTGAACACTTACTTCATTCTAAGAAGTCAGAGTGCCTCAGTACCAGGTCAGGGGTTTGGAAGGCTGTGGGAACCCCAAACTTCGGAGTCTACTAATTCTCAAGGAAGTAGGAATGCAGGTGGCTGAAGGATCCATTGAAGGTCTGAGAAGTCACTGTTGGGGCAGTGAAGGAAATGGGAAGGGAAGGCTAATTGCTGAGCAGCCCTGGGCCAGCTGAGGTTTCAGATGGGCTCAGAGAGACTCCAGCCAGCACGTAGCACTTTCAGTTCCCTGCATTCTTCCTGAGTGTTTTATTTTTTTCTGTGCCTTCATCCTAGTCTTTCTCAGTTTTGCTGTTGAATTTGCAGAAATGTGTGATGTCTGACCCTACGACTACCCAAAGGCCCCAGCTGGTCAGCCCCAGCCTGACCGCAGATTGGGGAGCAGACCAGTGGGAAAGGACCCACCACACGCATGCCATGCCATCTTCAAAGTTCCTGGCTCAAGAAACTGCACGACAACAGCAGTGAGAGTTGTCATAGCAAAGGAAAGACTATGGAATGCCGCCAGCAGCCCAGAGCCAAAAGGGCAAAAGGCATCCTCCAAAGTTCAAGAACTCCAAGCCTGGCTCAGAGGCCAGCACAGTGGTGGTAGCAGAATAAATGAAAACTCCTTTAATAGTAGTTAGGATGTAGTCCAACAAAGTAAGACAAGAATCAAGGAAAGGACTGGGGAGAGAGCTCGGTGGTCTAAGCACCTGCCTGACAAGTGCAAGGACCCAGGTGAGCTTGGCCTGCCACTGAAACCAAGTGTGGTGGCACAGGCCTGTAATCCCAGCACTGGGGAGGCTGAGACAGGAGGATCACTGCGAGTCTGAGCTGTGTAGTGAGACCCCGTACCAAATAAATACAATAATACAAAAAAGAAACAAGAAAGATGGCACAGGGGTTGGGGGTCCCACCTCAGCAGAAAATGGAAGGGAGGTCTGGGGTGGAGAGGCACCTTTAATGACTCATACACCTTACCTTCTTCATCTATGACTTTCACCAACTCTGTTTAAACAACTCTTCACTTGGATCATCAAAATTCTGAACACTGCGACTTTCCACCCTTCTCCATGTGGCTTGAAGTGGAGGAAAAATACACATGCTTAGCTCCTTTTTAAATTTTCACATCAACCTCCTTTTTCATATTATCAAAAGCATCTAATTCCAGGTGTGGTGCTGCATACCTGAAATCCCAGTAATGCCCTAGATTCAAACTCTAGAACCACACACACACACACACACACACACACACACACAAAGCTGGACACAGTGGCACACACCTGCAATTCCAGCTACTCAGCAGGCTGAGGCAGGAGGATCACAAGCCGAAGGCCAGCCTGAGAAATTGAGCAATAGATGTGACCCTGCAATAAAGTACAGCATGCTGAAGATGGAGCTAGTGGGTAGGTACTTGCCCAGCAGGGCTGAGCTCTGGCTTCCAACCCCAGCACAGAAAAGACAAAGGATTTAAATTGATCTACTTACAACATGTTCTACTGTTCATCCTTGATCCTTCCATGTCTATAGAAGTTCTCTTTATTTTAATTTATTTTTCATTTAAGCAATTCCTTTCAACCATGTTATCTTTTCAGAAGCCTTCGTGGATGATACACTTCCTGAGTCCTCGTGTGTCCTTAATGTCTTGTGGTAACTTGCACAACTGATAAGATATGATATGGTCCAGGCATGGTAGCACACACCTGTGATCCCTGCACTCTAGAGGCTGACGCAGGATCGCTGTGAGTTCAGGGCCATCCTGAAGTGCATAGCAAAGACTCTGTCTCACACAAAAGAAAGAAAGAAATGGATCTGATTCCCAGCATTGCACACTCAATTCCTCCAGCCTCTAAGACAGTGCTCAGCTGTACTGAATTGGAAGGAAGTATTGCATCCCTGGTGTTTAGTAGAATCCACAAAGGAGTTTAATCCAGTTTGTAGGTTAATGGTATCAAGAGAGTGGGACTTCATCCTACCATGGTGTTTAGAGGTCAGGCAAAGGGCATGATTAGGTGTAGGGGCATCAGTGGGGTGATGAGGTCAGTGTCCTTATGGGACAGACAGAGCAGAACTCTCTCCCCTCATGTAGCACACAAAGAAGAGGTGGTGTGAAACCACAGTGAGGGGGTGGCACCATCATTAGGGTGCCGAATCTGCCAGCTCCCTGACCTGAGACTTTCAACCCCTGAACTGTGGGACATAAATGTGTGTTGGTTAAGTGGTGCAGTCTAAGAAGCTCTGCTAAGGTCCACTGTCCTGGGAGCTCATGAGGACAGTCACTGTGCAGTGAGCCCCCTGGGACATCTTACCTTCCACTCTAATGCAATTCAACCAGGGTAGATGAAACTGGCAGAATTCACCTGTCCTTCCAGTCATACCCCTTCACAAACAAGAGCATGCTACTGTCAGCTTCTCAGAAGCACGTAGTTGTTTGGAGCTAATCTGGATGCCCAATGATTTATATAAGAAATGTAAGGGAATAAGCTGTAATGATGGCGCATACCTCTACACCTGCAATGGCAGCAGAAACATGGAAATGACACCCAGGACACGGAGACAGTTTTATTTACATTGATGGGCACTGATCAGGGTCATTCCTAGAATATCAAACCCTGATCTCTGGTGGTCTAGGACTTCCATGGGATAAGCAAGCAGGAATTGCAGAGGCAGAATGGCTTGTCCACTGGGGACTAGTTCTTACAATGTGCATCACAGTGACCAGCTGTTTCTAAGATACAGGAGCAACCAGATCTGGAACAGAAACTATTGGAGGGGGACACTTTCTGCTACAAACCTAACACTCTGGGAGGCTGAGGCAAGAGGCTCACAGGTTTGAACACAGCCTAAACAAATTGGCAAATTGGTAAGAACTTGTCTCAAAATAAAACATTAAAGAGATGGAGGATGTAGCTCAGTGTGAACGGTTTAAGTTCAGTCCTTAGTAATGCAACTAATGATAGTGATGATGGTGATGAGGTAGAGGAGAAGAATTTTTTTTTTTTTAAATTCTATATTCTGGGCTGGAATCCTGTAACAAAAGAGAAATTAACAACAACAACAAAAACGTTCAAGGTAAGGCCGGCCAAATAGGTAAGGCCGGCCAAATAGGTAGGGCCAGCCAAATAGCTCAGGGGGTTAAAACGCCTGCAAGCTGGTGCAGGGGCTGGGGGTTTCATCCCTGGATGTGACATGCCAACCCCGTCCCCCGGGCATGCTGAGAGGGCAATTGAGACTGGGCGTGGTGGCGCGCACCTGTAACCTCAGTTCTTGGGAGGCTGTAAACGGGCAGATCACTACTACTCTGATCTAGTAGTGAGACCCTAAACACCCTGTAGACCCTTCCCTAAAAAATACAAATAAATATAAAAATAATTTTTAAAAAGTTCATTAACATATATAAGCACATATACATGGGAGAAAACCCATGACAGTAACTCTCAAAGAGGTAGTTCTTAGAACTCTGGGAACATGGATAAAAAATAACAAATGTAGAAAGGAGAACAGAAGGGAGATCTGGAGTTTCCACCCACCGAGGGTAGGCACAGCACACTAGAGTCCTCTCGCGCCCTCTGCAGATCAATAGGGTTGTGGTGCTGTCTTCACTGCTTTTCATCTGCAAGAGGGCAGAAATCTTGAGTCGGATTGACTTTAGCTCAAAGCAATCATTCTGGTCTTCTGAATACGTGCTGCTTGTCATGACACAGCAGTTTGTGCTGTGCTGTCTCTCAGGTAGATGATTGTTTAAAAAGGAAAGGGTGGTGAATGAAGACAGGAAACAAGAAAAGGAGTGTTGGGACTGTCCTGCAACAATGTTGTATATGGTTAGACTTCTGGACTTATGTGTAAACATACATAATTATTTATTACTATTTTTAAAAATATATTTTAATTTTTAAATTTTTTTGTCATATTCTGTAGAGACTTAAAGTTTAGCATATCAATACTTGATGAAAAATACCTGTTCCATGTTATGCCTAAGATGTTTGATATTCAGACAGATAGTGAGGTTAAGCTCAACAACCTAAGTTGTGTGGTAATAACAATAAGCTTCTCTTCTGGAGGGTAAACAACCTAAGTTTGCAGACCAAAAATTAGAGAAAAAGGAGGTCCTCAAGGAAAGCCAACATTTTGGCCCTAGCCTTCCAAGGTCAATTAAGACTCAGGACATATGAGAACCTGTACTGTAACATCATGTAACTCAGTTGTGTCCCAAATTTTCTGACCAAGGAGATTATGGGGCCAAAGAGGAAAGTGATCGATGATGTAGAGTGTGCCTAAGGAGAGGTGCATGGAGAGAAAATATTCTTTCAGTCTGTCACAGAGAGCAAATTGCAATGGCCGTGACTCATCTACATGGCTGACACTGATACAGGATCTAAAATCTCAGGTACATGGTCTCGGTAGATAAATCCTGAGGGGATTTGACTGACCTTATCAGATCCAAAAGCTACAATTCTTGTTACATAGGTGTTGCTTTATTTTAGTCTTAACCATCCAGCAGAAAAGTATAAAAACAAAGTATAAGAAGTAAAGCCATGCTGTTATGTTGAGCTGTAGGGGACTCAGGTCAACAATTTCTGACACTGCCAGTGAAGCAGAAGATCCAATACTATTATGGGCTACTGGACTGTTTTGGAATATTTTGCTGAGTTCATACACCTATAATATTTAAATGACAGAACTAAACAAAAAAGGGGATACAGATGAATGACCATTTTGTATCTGTGTATTCAAAATGGTTAGGATAGATATATAGCTACAATCTCTTAATTCAATGAATAGAGGGATTTGTTCTAATAGTATTTGTAAATAGGATATCATGTCTGCATTTTATACAACAAATAACCACTAGGAAGACAGTAAGCAATGTGTTAATTATTGGAACTGTCCTACCAATTTGATATGAAACTGTCTCATTGCTATCTGTTTTTCAATAAAATTATGGGAAAAAATAAAATAAAATAAAATATATTTTCACCCCCACACACACAAAGCAATCCTTGTGCTGAAGTGGCACATCTTGGGGAAGCAGAGTCTGTTGCCCTTTAGTAATTGATGCAGCAGTACAGACTCCTAGTTGGTGGCTTTTTTCTGTCTCCTCTAATTCAGTCAGCAAGCATGGGAAAGAGCAAGCCTGTGAACTTTTGCTAGGGCAGTAACACTGGCAGAGGAGAACATTAAAACTCCAGCATCAAGCTGACCATCCTGGCACATGTCTGTAATCTCAGCACTCTGGGAAGCTGAGGTGGGAGGACTGAAAGTTCAGGTCCAGCCTAGGCAACTTAGCAACTTAGTGAGACCCTGCCTCTGAGTAGAAAATAAAGAAGGGCTGGGGCCTGTGACTAGGAACAAAGTCCCCGTGAGGCAGGAAGCTGCCGTGAGCAGTTGGTGGAGGCACTGTCACCCTGGTCAGGGAAGACCTGCCTGTGAGGTGGGGTCTCCAGCCATCCACAAGAGCACCCCAAGCAGGAAGAGCCAATTTGAGCCCCCTCCCCACCCTGGGCTGTGGCCCCACTTTCCAACACTTCTGACTTCCCCGGTTACCCCACAGTGGCATATAGGTCAGGAGTGACAGGTCAAGAGTAGGTAATGAGGAAGGAGGGGTGGGGAAAGACACACTGAGGAAGCCGGGACAGCACTGTGCAGCCGCTGCTGTGGCTTGAATCTGCCCCCAAATGCTCAGAGGTTGGAACCTTAATTCCTCAAAGTGCTAGTATTGAAGGGTGGGGCTCCTGGGAGGTGTCAGAGCCCTCCTGAACCAGGAAACTGGGGTGGGGGGCAGGTGGCAAGGGAATTTGGCTCCCTCTTTTTCTCCGCCATGTGGTGATCTAGACAGAGGCAGCCTGTGCCTTGGACTTCTAGCCCACAGAACCATGAGCCAGAAAAAAGCTCCAGCCTCCAGTGTGCTGTGTAGAAACAAAAATGGGTTAAGACACCCAGCTGTCCAAGTCCCGGACCCGGCTCTGCCTCCCTGCCTGCCGATCACCCTCTTAGTTTCCTTGCTGTAGACAGCCAAGTTAGATAGAAACTTGGTAGGCAGTCAGACAGGGCTGGGTCCTGGAGGAGCGGGGCAGATCACAGATGCATTGCAACTGTCAAGGAGACAAACATATCCTTTGAGGGCCAGGCCTCAAGACAAAAGATGCACCCACATACTTCCCCTAAGGATGACAACAGTGGTCAATATTCTACATAGGCATCGATCGCCTTGGGAAAGTCAGGAAGTGCCACTGACCCAGCCCTCCAGGAAAAGCCCCTTCTCTGGTTCTCGCCCGCTTGCTGAGAGACTCGCCTGCCATCTGATCCCCATTTAATCAGTCTTATCTGAGCAGCTGTGCTCGTAATCTTATTGGTTGACCATAGTTTTGTCCCATCTCACGCCCACCTTGTGGTTTCCCATTTTCCCCACCTTGGCTCCACCTCGCTTCGTGGTTTTGCTGTATAAAAATCCCTTGAAAAGACAAAATCCCCAACAACCCGCACTGGTTCCCTTCTGGCTCTCTCAGACAGAAGCTTTCTTTCCCCAATAAATATTTTCTGCTCTTAACCTTCATTGTTCCTAGAATTCATTCTTTGATTTTAGAGAACACAAACTAGCACCAGCCATCTAGCAGGATGGAAGTTTCTTTCCGCTATATCATCCTGACCCTTAGTTATGCTGTGTCTGGATGGCCCCCCAAAGCCTCATGCAGTCACTGGGTGGGCCCCCAAGGGTCCTGGAAGAGTGAGGGTTCAACTTTAGGGT